AACCTCATTTTATTTTGGAAACACGTTGGCGGTAGTATCATAGTTTGGGTTTGTTTTACAGTAAAATCCTGAAATTTCTTTGTTGAAAACATTCTATCTGAAGTTAATAAAACATAAATAAACCAAAGTTTAWGTGCTGGAGAGATTCATTATTAATAATTGTTTTATTCAGAGGTTTGTGTTGTGAAAAAAACAAATCTCGTCTCTTTGTTCTCTGATTTTCTGCGACTCAATGAAACCTCCCAGGATTTGAGTCGACTTCCTGGGTCCGGCTCCAGAACCTCGGAGCTTCACTTCAGTTCGATGTGAACTTCCTGCACCGGGTTTTTATTTTCACTCATTCATCAGGTGAGTTTTAAAGATTTGTTACATTTAAAACACTTCAGTGATTTGTGTCTAAAGATGTTTGCTTTGAAATAATCACCCAATGACCGATTGTTTTCAGGATTTGTGTATTATTTTTTATTTAATGTTGAAACTACGTATTTGTTTTCTTGTAAAAATGTTGCATATTTAATTTTGTCTTCAGATTTCCTTTTATCCCTATTTTTTCTTTTCTTCCTCTCGTTTTATTCTCTTTGGACCGCTGAGTCAGCACTTACAGCATTTTCCAGTTTTGTTTTGATATTTTTCACACATTTTTATGCAGTTTACCTAAAATGCTCCTTTAGTTATTCTTGTATCAAAATGTTCGGCTCATTCAGGAGGTAAAATCTTTGACTTTTGTAACGTTTATATTTTTCAAAACATTTAAATTTAACATAAATCATGCAAACTGYTTAAATCTCACATTAGCAAACATTTGCTAAGGTTTAAAATTTATTTAAAAAGTAGCTAAAGCTTAAATAAACAAACCTGTAGCTAAAAGCTGTATTAGCAAAGTATTAGCTTAAATAGGATTTAYAAGATGAAATTAGAAAGAGTTCCAAAAAGCTAAAACTGTTAGAGCAGTTTCAGTAAGCTAAAATTATGAGAACAGTAGCCACATTTATAGCTAAAATCAAGTAGATAGAAGCTAAAATTAGCAAACCAAGTATTTTTTTTTAGAAATATGCAGCTGTTTTTACCACTTTTAGCTACTGTTGTGCTACTTTTAGCTTTTTGCTCATCAGCTCTGCTGAAAGTTCAGCTTCTTCAGTATTTTAGCTGTTTTTCTGTCTCTTCTCTGACAGATCCTCACATCCCGCACCTTCTTCTCATACTTTGTTTCCTTCTCTCCTCACCTCCTCGTTCACTCGTTCCATCTCCTCTCTCCTCCTCGTCAGCTCGTCCACGATGCTCCTCCGGCGTTTCCTCCTGATTGGATCTCTGCTCTCGKTGGCCGTGCATCAGCTGGCTGCTGCAGAGACGTGTTCGGCGTCAGGGAYGCCCGGAATCCCAGGTTTGTGCATTTTAAGGTTATATCTGTAAATCTTTTTGTTTTCGTATTGTTTATTTTTTTATCCTGCTCAGGTATTCCTGGACTTCCCGGCAGAGATGGACGTGAAGGAGCCAAGGGAGAGAAAGGAGAGAAAGGTACACAAAAACACACAAAAGCAGCCTGCTGCTTTTTATAACGAGGTTTAAATGATGTTTCTGTTCTGTTGTTTTCGTTCTGAAACTTTAGAATAAAAGCTTGATTTTAATAAAATTAATAAAAGTTGATTTTTATTTTACCTGCCAGGTGTCTGGTTTGTATAAACAGATTAGCTGCAGCCCACAGATCTGTGTTCTTGTTTCCAGGAGCCCTGTGGAGCGGCGGGACCCGGCCTCAGAAGGGTGAGAAGGGTAACCCGGGGCCGAGCGGTCCCCCAGGTAAACGAGGTCAGTCAGGAGAACCCGGAGAACCTGGCAGCCCGGGGCACGTAGGCCTTCCAGGAGATCCAGGAGAACCTGGGTATGATAGCTGAGGATGAAATTTAAATGATTTTTTAAAGGGATCCCCAAATAGCGGTAACATTAGACTCTATTTGATAAACATTTATTTTAACTGTAAAAATACTGTACGCTGTTTAGTTTTTATAAATTTTAAACTAAAAGTTTAAAAAATATTACATTGGCGGAGCCATTTTATTTACACGCAAAGCATTCTGGGTAAATG